GAAAAGCTTCATAGTGGGGAGAAACCCTATGTGTGTAAGCAATGCACAAAAGCTTTCAGCACACGTGGTGCTTGTCAAAGACATGAAAAGCTTCACAGTGGGGAAAAGCGCTGTGTGTTTAAGCGATGTGAGAAAGCTTTCACTGGACAGTGAATGCAAAACACATGAAAGAGCCTGTACTGGGAAGAAACCCTATAAGTGTAAGCAATGTGGGAAAGCTTTCAGCACACATAGTGCTTGTCAAAGACATGGAAGGACTCACACTGGGAAGAAAGCCTATGAAAGCAAGCACTGTGGAAAATCAGCACATATCAATATGTTCAAATACATAAAAGAGCTCACACTGGGGACATACCCTATATGTGTAAGCAATGTGGGAAAGCTTTCAGGACAAAAAGTGATTGTCAAAGACATGAAAGAGTTCACATGGAATAAACCCTATCAATGTAAGCAATGTAGGAAAGCTTTCAGTACAAAAAGTGGTTGGCAAATACATGAAAGAGTTCACCTTGGGGAGAAAACTTATGCATGTAAGCATTGTGCAGAAGCTTGCAGCACACTTCGTTCCTGTCTACGACATGAAAGTTCACACTGGGTAGAAACCCTGGGTCTGTAAGCAATGTGGGAAGTCTTTCACCAGAAAAAGTATTTATCAAACACGTGAAAGTGTTTATACTGGGCAGAAAGCCTATGTGTGTAAGCAATGTGGGAAAGCTTTTACCACACATAGATTTTTGTCAACTACGTGAAAGTACTCACACTGGGGAGGAACTCCTATGTATGAATGCAGTGCGGGAAAGCTTTCAGCTCATGTGCTTGTCAAGACATGAAAGGACTCACAGTGTGGGAAATCTTTCAGCAGAAGCAGTTGCCAAAAACATGAAAGAGTTCACACTAGTGAGAAGCCCTGTGTATATAAGTAATGTGGGTAAGCTTTCATCACACATGGTGATTGTCAAGACATGAAAGACTTCTTACTGGGTTTTGATCATACATATGTAAACTGAAAACTTTCAGCACACACAATTGTGAAATATATGAAAAAGTCACTGGGGAGAAACCATGAGTATATAAAGTGGGATAGGTGTTAGTCCACATAAATTGTTAAACTCATGAGAGAAGTCTCACTGGGAGAAGCTTTATATATGTGATCTCATTTTTAAAATCCTGTGGAAAATTCTCATGTAGTGGCGACCTGTAGAAAAATACAAACACATTTGATGTCAGTATTTCTTTGCACAAGATCATCACCGCAAACATGGGCTACATGGTAAGTTAAGGGCCAGCCTGAACTACGAAGGGAGATCCTGCCTCAGAAAAACAGAAAACTTCTTTGGAAATTACTCAGAAAATAGAAATCCTATATAGAGATATCCTAAGGTACATACATTATGTGGTTTTCAGTAAATCACAAATATCTAGATTACGTATCATAGGGTTTAACAAAAATATTGAGTTGACATAATTTTGTGTTTTTGCATATCTTTGTGGTTAGTCCATGGTGTTTTTTAATTACACATGGTGAACTGAAATGTGCATTTTTTTAAATTTTTTTTTTTGGTAACTGGGATTGAACTCAGGACCTTGCACTTTCGAGGCAGGCAGTGGAACCACTAAGCTAAATCTCAAGCCCTGAAATGTGCTTTTTACTTTCCACTACAATTACTGTGTAGTTATTTTGTCTTTGAATTGGGAGGTATAGACCACTAAAAACCTTAATTTTTAAAATGGGTCTTTGTTAATTGTTGGGATTTTGCACAACATTTGTTTTAACTTTGTAGTGCATACTCCATATTCTGTGTAACAAAAGATGTTTTTCAATTTGATACTATATTTTATATTAAAATACATATTTTCAGAGATTTGTGAACGTGTTTATAAGGAAGTTGAGTTGTCAAACAACTTGTATGTTAGCAAATGTATTATTCATATTGTGACACCTACTTTTATCCTAAAATCATATATCATGTACCTAATGTTGCAAGTTTTTTTAAAGCAGCCAATATTATCATTTACATAAATTTTTATGTTTTCTTTCCATCAGCATTTTACTTTTCATGTTTATATTGCATTGACTTTTAATTTGGTATTAATTTTTCCACCGTGTGTACCAAAAATAAACCATAGGAGAAGTTAAGATACACGGAATGAGTAAGGGTGGCAAATTTGGCTCCTAGACCAGAAAAGGTCTTCTTGTCAGTGAGCTGACTCAGGGAGAGAATGGGTCAAAGACCACAGTCATGGAGGAAGAAGAGAAACTTATGAGTACTTTGTTAATAACTGTTTTGTACTGGTAATCACTTTTTCTAACCATGTTGAAGCCACATAATGAAAATTTGGGGAGTGAGTGTGTGTGTGTGTTCATCTAAGTCTACTGAGAAAAATTTGTTTGCACTGGGCTGTTTTTCCATAGCAAAAAATGATTGGGAGTGGGGTTCTATAATGTTTTCTGTAGAGATTGTTGAATGACAATATTAAACTAATTAACAGATATTTTTATATACATAACATTGCAAAATATTTTTATTCATTCACATATGTTTCACAAAAAATAGGTGTCAATTAGGCAAGTTTTAACACAAAGAATGTACTTTGATTGTATACATTATTTCTCCCTTTCAGTGTCCTCTCACCCTGGTCTTTCTCTTCTCACACAGTCTTGTTACTAGACTGGGTCTTAGAAGAAGATACCTATCCCTAAACATGAAATGTTTGGTGTTCTCCCGACTTCCTTTACACAAAAAGGATTTTCAGGATGTATCAATAAGAGGCCCAGAAAGGTTAGCTCTAAAGTGTTTAGTATATTCTCAAGAGGGGAGTGTAGGCCCTCGTAAGAGAGAAGTGCACTACAGTTTGGAACTGGGAATCTTTATGTATTTTTAGCAATGAAAATCTGTGTGGGGGTCGGAGATTCAGCTCAATGGCACCATGCCTGCCTCCGGAGCACAAGGTCCCGAGTTTGATCCCCAGTACTGAAAAAAAAAAATCTGAAATTTGCCAATTTATACTTTCCTTTTGGTAGGTAGCAGACAAAGGCTCAGCCACACTGTGATGATGGTGTTTTCAAAGAGGAGTGCCCAATTTATAGGTTAAAAATGTGGTTTATTCACAAGTGAAAGGAATTGTCTGAGATTCTTGTGTTCCTCAAGAAGAGAAAACATTTAAACTGGACTTGTGTCCTGAAGATGCATTTGTCATTTTTTAAATTATGATTTTTTTACTTGTCTCCTTTTAGCATATCTGTATTTCTTCTAATGTATCCCTAAAGACTTGTTCTTTATTTCTAAATTTGTAGAAGGCCAGCTGATCTGTCTTCTGTAACTGCTTTAGCCTAAGGAAGAGCATTTATCCTGTCTAGCCAGCGGTCAGAAGTCTCAAACTGAGTGATATAATGAGACAACATGAGTTTTTTGTTTGTTTGTTTGTTTTGTTTTGTTTTGTTTTTTATGAACAATACTCCTTTGTTCATC